TTTTTTTTTTTTTTTTTTTTTGCGGTACGCCGGCCTCTCACTGTTGTGGCCTCTCCTGCTGCGGAGCACAGGCTCCAGAAGCACAGGTTCAGCGGCCATGGCTCACGGGCCCAGCCGCTCCGCGGCATGTGGGATCTTCCCGGACCAGGGCACGAACCCGTGTTCCCTGCATCGGCAGGCAGATTCTCAACCACTGCACCACCAGGGAAGCCCTGATCACCCTTTATAACACGTGGGGACATTGAACCTGACAGAAGCTATGGTTAGGCATGGCGGAACCTGAGTTCCACCTGAGTTTGTTCCCAGTGCACGGGGGAGAATAAAACATGTGTAGAGTGCTCAGAACAGTGCCTGCGATGAAATAAGCACTTGATAAATGATAGCTGTTGATAACACAGTGTAGATGGTTTCACGAACCCACGCTCCATCTTAGACATTCACTTCACCCAGCCCAGCTCTGCCTGCTCATTCACCAGCTCAGAATCTTTGACTTTGCACCATCCTGGACACTCAGCACCAAAATGGCCTTCTGTGATCTGGCCCTGCTAGGACTCCCCAAATTTGTTTCCCCTTGCTCCCCTCCCTCAGATGGAGACTCCCCAGGCAAGCCAGACAAATTGCCACCCCCTCTTGAATGTGCCTTGACCTATGTAGCCACTGTACCTTTGTCCCTGGCATTCCCGAAGCCTGGAGCACCCGCCCATCTTTGGAATCCATCTTGGATTCTCTTTTGACTCAGCACACCCTGTCAGCACCCACCAGGTGATGCTCACTTATTCCTGGCAGGAAGCTGACAAGATGTTTCTGGGGCCTGGATGAGAGATGTGCCCCACAGCAGGGCTGACCCAGCCTCAATAGCCCACTCCATGGGCTAGCATGACTCGCCCTGTCACCTGCACCTCCTCCTCTGGGGTTCTCACCCCATCCAGCCTCCATCTGGGGTTCCCATCAGTCTCTGTCCCCAGCACTGAACCCTCCCCAGAGGGAGGGGCTATTCTTGGCTCCCAGCTCTTTCCCCGGCCTGGTACTCACTGATTCTTCTCCAGCTCTAGCAGGAGCTCCTGGCCTTCAGCCTTCAAGGCCACCAGCCCCACTTCTAGCTTCGAGACCTGGGCAAAAGGAGTGTAGGGCTGAGAGGGCGGGCATCCAGGTCCCCTGCCTGCCAGGAAGCAGGAAGGATGTGGAGCTGACTGGCGAGGGATTTCATGGGGAGAGCACAGGGGCACGGGGCAGAAGGCCCCCGCTTGCCATTGTGGGTGTGGATGGGTGTGGGGTGAGAACTTGCAAAGATGCTTTCAAACTCAGAATGTTTGTTGTTCTGACAGCAGCCATTTGACAGAGCCTGCTCGGTGCACTCCACATCCTCCCTGGAGAGACAAGTGGTCTCAAAAGGATGCCATGCCTTGCCCAAGGTTACTGGGCTCTTCCTCTGGTCTTCCCTCCTCTTTCATGCCCAGAAGCCTTCCTCTAAGCAGGGAGGAGAGCGGGGTCCTGAAGACACTGATGCGGGAGAGTCGGGTAGCCGTGGCTCAGGCCTCCTCACAACCTCTCCTTTCTGTACCTTGCTGTTCCCCACTCCCTGTAGAATTCAGACTTAGTACCTCCACCTCCAGTGCTGACTAGCTGCCCCCCGCAAAATTTTCCTATGCCTCTAGCAGGCTCGCCTCACACCTGCTTCACTGAGCCTGTGAGGTAAACACTGACTCACACGCCTTGCCAAGAGAAAAACTCTGGTTTTCTTGGCTAGATGTCAGGAGGGTGGAACTGGGCCAGCCTGCCCACCTCTCCTTCCCCTACCCTCTTTGCCGCTTCCACCGTGTGGGAATACCCCATCTGCCCGCTTTGTCCACTCCCTGGCTGGGGGCCCAGAGCTGGAGCGGGCCAGGAGCCTCCTGGAGAGCAGCTGTGTCCTTGGAATGCTGGCCCCCACTTTTGCTGGCCCTTCCCTTTTATCCCACAATGCACTGGCCTGGGCCCCAGGCCAACAGGCTCAGAGTCTTGTGGAGGGGGCCTTCCTCTGCAGGTGGGGAGCAAATAGTCCCCTCCCCCAGCCAAAGGCCGCCCTAGGCCCCAAGCATGAGCTCATGTGGCCGGAATGCCACTTGTTTTATTGGAGAAAGATTTGCACTGAGGAAAGGAGGCAGCCCAGATGGAAAGCTTCCTCTTGCCCCACCCCCATCCCCCTCTCTGTCCCTCTGCAGCCCCTGCTGTCCTCATTTCTTGCCCTCCTGGTGACCCTGCCCTTCACCATGCACTCCATCTCCAACCTAAAATGTAGGTGTTTCCTGCCTCTGGGACAGGACACCCTGCCACTCTGTCTGCTGTCCTCATCTTGGCAGGGCTTCCAGGGACAGAAAAATTGAGGAAAGCAAATTCCCTCTGGCACTCCCCTCCTATTTGGTCACAGCCCAGGCCAGGCCCAGAGGGAGGTCCGCAGTCAGGGTGGTCTCAGCATGTGATGTCCCTTCCCCTATGCCGGTGATGAACAATCTCAAAGCTCGGGCTGGCACCATGCTGACCACTTGAATGGGGGCCCTGAGGGTCTGGGGGACCCAGTGAGGGCCCTAGGTTGAGAGTTGCTGGGCCTGTGGGGGCCCCCCCGGCCTATACAGCAGTGCTCTCCTGCCTTCCTCCTTGCAGGCTTGGACAGTGGATTGTCTTCTCTTTCCTGAAAATTCATGGCAGGCTTCCAGGGACAGAAAAATTGAGGAAAGCAAATTCCCTCTGGCACTCCCCTCCTATTTGGTCACAGCCCAGGCCAGGCCCAGAGGGAGGTCCGCAGTCAGGGTGGTCTCAGCATGTGATGTCCCTTCCCCTATGCCGGTGATGAACAATCTCAAAGCTCGGGCTGGCACCATGCTGACCACTTGAATGGGGGCCCTGAGGGTCTGGGGGACCCAGTGAGGGCCCTAGGTTGAGAGTTGCTGGGCCTGTGGGGGCCCCCCCGGCCTATACAGCAGTGCTCTCCTGCCTTCCTCCTTGCAGGCTTGGACAGTGGATTGTCTTCTCTTTCCTGAAAATTCATGATGAAAAGGGTGCTCTAGGCTTGGGGAACATTGGCCAATGGTTTCTTCTGGGTTAAAGAGCTGTGTGACCTTGGGCAGTTTCTCCAGCCTCTCTGGGCTTCAGTTTGCCCCTCTGTGAAATTGTTATACAAAGGCTGTTGGTCTCCATGCAGCACAGCTGTGTGGCACATACAGATGGGGGCAAGGTTATTCTGAAAGTGTGTGATGGATGGCTGTTGGGAGGAGACTGGGACAGAGCATCCAGAAGAAGCAAAACAGGGTGGGCTTGCATTTGGGGGCACTAGGAGAGAGTGACTACTGGGCAGAAGTGGCGTGAGCCAGTGAGACAAGTTTCAGGTCCCTAAATGGCAGGGTCCTGGAGAGGACAGCAATTCATCCACAGGTAAACTTTGCAAAAGGAAGATATTTTGGTGTTTTCTTAAAGAGGTCCTTGAAAAGCTTCTGGCCCCACCTCTGCCTAATGGGGTGGAGGTGGCCTGAATAACACTGGGAAGAGATGGTTAAGGAGGAGGTGGGGGAGAGGAAACTGGAAAATGACTTCCATGTGTGCAGCCTCTCTCCATCTAGACGTCTCCCACCTGCCCCTGCCAAACCTTCGGGGAGGGGCCTGAACAGCTCTGGGGATCTAGGGACCCCAGCGAAACTGCCACACTGATATTTGGGGAGGGGCAAAGGGGCTGAGAGACCCTGGGCCTCTGCAGAGGGGATGACCTGGCACTGACCGGCTGCTCCAGGGTGACCATGTGCCGGGGTCGTCCATCCAGAACCCAGTGCAGGATGACTGGCTCTCCAGGGGTGTTTCCTGGGGAAAGGACAGAGCACAGGGTGAGGGGAACCTGAGGGACATAGGGAAACTGGAGAGAACAGAGGGATAGAGTTAGAGGATGTCAGCAGGCAGGAACAGGAGACTCCATCTTCAATACTCAAAAGTTTAGCCTGGGGCTTCCCTGGTGGCGCAGTGGTTGAGAGTCTGCCTGCCGATGCAGGGGACACAGGTTCATGCCCTGGTCTGGGAAGATCCCACGTGCTGCGGAGCGGCTGGGCCCGTGAGCCATGGCCGCTGAGCCTGCGCGTCCGGAGCCTGTGCTCCGCAACGGGAGAGGCCACAATAGTGAGAGACCCGCGTACTGCAAAAAAAACAAAACAAAACAGTTTAGAGCTGACCTAAGTTATCAGAGACCAAAAAGTAAAGCATTTTGGTAGGAAGCTATCATTATCAACTCTGATGAATACCACTGTATGGGCAGTAAAATGTGTATGAATCATAAAGTACGTACAGTCTCTGTCAGCTGCTGATATGGTCTATCATTTGCTAGTGATGAAATGGATTAAATGAAGGAAAACTAACAAGAATTTCATCTGTACACTCTTCCTGGGTGTCCTGAAGCTTCAGAAATATGAAAAGATAAAAAAAAAAAAAAAAAGTTTAGCCTGGAGAAGGGTGGCCACCCATGAGGCATCCTTGGAACTGAGGAACCACCAGGGAGGTGGCAGAAGAGAGACAGAGGAGCCTGGGAAGAACTGCTCAGCTGGGCACTTGGGAGACCCACTGACCTTGGGAGGGGAGAATTGGGGTCAAAGATCACAAGGAAGAGACCAAGGCCCCTAATACAGAGGGGAAAGGAAATGGGAGGCAGCTTCGGGTATTTTTAGACTGGGCAGCAGATGCTTTTAGGGTGAGAGATCTGTGAAGACAGAACGCCTGTGTCTCGCCCACCATCTGAGAAAAACAACAGCCAGATGTTGCCCAAAGCTCCCTCTGGGGGCTTCATGCTGGGGGCAGGGTTTCCAGGGACACTGGCCCAGAAGCCCCTTCCTCGTGTCTTCAAGAGTCGGGGGGGGTTGTTTGGGAGACAGAGCCTGAGTGCTCCCAGGACGGGAATGCTTAAGTGGGGCTCCAGGAGGAATACCAGAGCGAAGCATTACTCAGAAAGCGCCTGGAATGCTCCCCTGAAATGCTCCAGGGCTTAACTTGGTGTGGAGCACCAGGTCCAGCTGGCCCTGGGTTTCCCGGAGTGGAGAGGGGAAGGTGTGCCTGTGTGTATGTGTGAGTCTGGGTTCTCCTCCTGGCCCTGTGCACACACGCTGGCCGTTGGCACCTTGACGGGGGCAAGGAGGCAGAGATGGAGCTGTAGTGACTAGGTGGATGGGAGTGGAAACTGAGGAGCCAGTGTGGTGTTGGGGAGCATAGAGTCCCTCTCCATTCCTCCCAGGGGTCCCTTCATACTCCCCCTAACCCCAGGCTGAAGAGGAGGGAGCAGCGGAATGCCTGGGGACCATCCCCAAAGGCATGAGGGCTGTCATCCCTCCCCCTCCACGCCCCAGAACAGGGCAGGACCCTATCCCTGTTGCCACCTGCCCCCCCACCCCTACACAGTGCTCTGGAACCCACTGTCCCCAGGCTGCCCAGCCCTTCCTGCCCGCCTTGTCAGGCACTTGATGTACAGGACTCTGCCAGTCCTCCCACCCTTTGGGAGAGGTTTTCATCAGCCCCATCTCACAGAGAGTTTGTAGAGGTCAAACTGAGAAGAGACAGAGCTGCAGTCTTCCCCCAGGGCCCTGCTAAACAGACACCTTCTGTTTGAAGCCGTTTCTATCTAACCAAACAAGGCAACAATATAAACAATATACACACTGCCCCAAGGCCCTGGGATGAGGGGGTGAACATGGAATGATGCATGAGTGTGGAGGCCACAACTAGTCTCTTAGTGTGAGGGCGCAACAGGGACTCCAGGGCACCGGTGGTCTGGGGCTTCCTGGAGGATGGAGGCCCTCTGAGCCCTAGGAGATGAAGGTGCAGGAACCTTCATACTGGCGGATGGGGCCACAGCAGAGAATCCAGAGGGGTTTCGGGGTGCTGAGCGGCTGCTTGAAGGGAAGGGGCCCTGCCACTCTGCTTCGCCAGTGGCACAGGGTATCTGGGCACAGTGTGCAAGTCTGGGCCCTGAGGCCAGCACAACTGCAGTTGAGAGTCCCTGGGCAATTCCCACAGAGACTTTCCCAAACCCTCCCCATGCCCTGTCCTCCTGGCCCGCGCGATCCCCGGGGATTTCCGACCCTCCATCCCCGACAGCGACCTCGCGGCGCACTCCCACTCACCTTGAAACGCCTCAGCCCCCCACACCGGCCACGGTAGTCGCAGTAGCAGCAGCAGCCCCAACGCCGGCGACCCTCGAGCTCTCCGATACCCCGGGCGCATAGCTGTGACCGCCTAGCGTCTGAGCTGCGACTCCCAGCTCTCGGCTCCGCCCCGGCTGGATCGCGGCCGACCCACGCCCTCTGCAGCCGGCCCGCCGCCTCCCAACCCTCCCGCACCCCCATCCTGGCCCGCAACCCCCTTCTCGCGCGACCCCGCACGGAGCCCCGCCTGCCCGCGCCACCATCTCAACCCATCAGTCCTGACCCCGGCCGGCGTGTGCCCTCGGGGAGCCAGGACCACCCTGTCGCGTCTAGGGGCTAGAGCTCGGTGGGGCGGGAGACCCTCGCGAGCCAACCCGCCGCGTAGGTCTCAGAGGGCCCCCTATTCGTGGGGGTGGGAAGTGGAGATGGGGTGGGGACCCTCGGGAAAGGCCTTTGAGGACCAGAGCGGGGACAGTGCTAGGGGCCACCTGTTGCTACTCCGGTCTGCCCAGGAAGCGCCCCCCTCCATGGTCTCCTGGATCGGACCTTTGTCCTCGCCTTGACACCAGTCACGCTCAGAGTCGCCCGGGTGAGAGACTGGCGGGCCCTAGGAGAAGGGATGCCCGGGGCGACAGGCAGGTGCGGCCACGGCCCCAAGTTAGTCTCTGTTCCGCGGTGGCCGCCAGCGCCTGCGCCCGAGGTGCGCGGGCCGGTCGGGAGGACGAGCGGAGGCCGTGGTCCTGCGGGCTCCCTGCCCGACAAAGGCGAGGCGGGGGAACAGGGGTGGAACAGGCGGGCGGGCGGAGAAGGGGGCAACCCACCCTTTGTCGTGGTGGCCGGGGGTGGGGGTGGGGCGAGGAATGGCACAAAGCCATAGACTCCCACACGTGCGGGAGCCTTCTGGCTTTTGTTTCTTGGTTTAAAAAGTTTGTGTACTGAGTAGTAAATTCGGATAGCGAATAACAAGTATTCCGATAGCGAAGGATGTTAAATTTAAGCAAATCTGTTTGTTTATGAGCATTCAAAATGCGCCAGTTCAGTTAGTAAGAGTTGCAGTGGGGAAGGTAACCTATGTTGGCCTGATTCAAACATCAAAAAGTATGGTGAGAGGTATAGGGAACATCCCATCCTCTCAGACCACGCCCCTCCAACAGGAAGCTATTATAAGCTTCTTGTATAGGCTTTTAGATTAGTTTATGCATGTCCACGACAATACAAACACTTTTTTTCCTCTTTTTAACATTTTTCTGTACCTTGGAGATCCTTCCTATCAGTGGTCTCCTTAACATACTATTCTTTTTCTTTTTCTTTCTTGTTTTGGCCTTGCCATGCAGCATATGGGATCTTAGTTCCCCTGACCAGGGATTGAACCTGTGCCCACTGCAGTGGAAGTGCAGAGTCTTAACAACTGGACCACCAGGGAAGTCCACATTAACACTATTATTTTTTTTTAATATTTATTTATTTTTATTTATTTGGTTGCGCCGGGTCTTAGTTGCAGCAGGTGGGCTCCTTAATTGTGGCATGTGAACTCCCAGTTGCAGCATGTGTGTGGGATCTAGTTCCCTGACCAGGGATCGAACCTGGGTCCCTGCATTGGGAGCACAGAATCTTATCCACTGTGCCACCAGGGAAGTCCCAACACTATTCTTATGATTATTACTATTATTCTACTATGATTACTTTGGATTTTAAAATTACAATAAAATGCACTTACTTTAAGTGTACAATTAGATGAGTTTTGATAAATTTATACACCTATGTAATCACCACCACAATCTAGATAGAACCTTTCCGTCACCCCCAAATAGTTCTCCTGTGCCCCTTCCCAGTCAATCTCTCCCACTCCTAACCCCAGGCAACCACTGATATACTTTCTGTCTATAGATAAGATTTGCCTGTTCTACAACTTCATACAAGTAGAATCATAAAACATCTACTCTTTTGTGTCTGGTTTCCTTCCCTCTTTGTTTTTGAGATTCATTTGCATTGTTTCATGTAGCAGTAATTTGCTCTTTTGTAGTGCTGAGTATGTTCCATGGTAAGGGGGAAGCATGGTTTCTCTATTTTCCAGCTAGGCATTTGGGTTCTTTTCCAGTTTGGGCTCTTCTAAATATGGCCGCTACAAACTGCTGTGTAAATCTGCATGAACATGTTTTCATTTCTCATCTGTAAATACCTAGAAGTAGAATTGCAAGGTCATACAGTAAAGGGCATGTTTAATTTTTTTAAAGAAACTATTTTCCAAAGTGTCTGTACCATTTTACATTCCCACTAGCAATGTGTCAGAGTTCTCCATATCCTCACCAACATTTTAGTGTTGTCAACCTTTTATTTTTATTTACTTATTTATTTATTTGGCTGCATTGGGTCTTCGTTGCTGCACACAGGCTTTCTCTAGTTGCGGCAAGCGGGGGCTACTCTTCATTTCGCTGCAGTGTGGGGGCTTCTCATTGCAGTGGCTTCTCTTGTTGCGGAGCACAGGCTCTAGGTGCACGGGCTTCAGTAGTTGTGACACACGGGCTCAGTAGTTGTGGCTCGCAGGCTCTAGAGCAGTAGTTGTGGCGCACGGGCTTAGTTGCTCCACAGCATGTGGGATCTTCCTGGACCAGGTATCGAACCTGTATCCCCTGCACTGGCAGGCAGATTCTCAACCACTGCACCACCAGGGAAGTCCCCAACCTAATGAGTATGCAGCATTCTCATCATTTTTAATAGTTGAATGCTATCATTTATTCATAGTCTCCTCTTGGGCATATAAATGGTTTCCAGTCCCTTTGCTATTACAAACAATGCTGTAATGGATAGTTATATACACAACTTCATCTGTGAGATGATATCCTACAAGCAGGATTGCTGGGTCAAAGGATATGTGTGTTTGTGATTTGGGTAGATAGAGTTAAATTGCCCTCTGATTTGTGCCAGTTCACAGTTGTTAACAGCGATATCTGGAGTGCTCATTTTCCCACAACCTTACCAACACAGTTATCAAAATGTAATATTTGCTAGTCTGAAAGTGAAAGTGCAGTCTCCATTTGCATTTTGTCTTATGAGTGAGGTTGAATATTTGTTCAAACATTTAAGAGCCGTTTGTATTTCTTTTTCCCTGAATTGCCTGTTCATATCCGCAGCTCATTTTTTTGTTGGGTCTTTCTCTTAACAACTTGAAGGAACTCCATATATAAGGGAGATGAACCCTTTGTCTGGAGTATGAGTTGCAAATATTTTCCCCAGTTTGTGAGATGTATCCAGCCTGTGGTGTGTGGCTTCAGCTCAGTTATACTCATTGCTGAGTAACATTTGATTGTGTGACTATAACCACACTTTTCTTTCACTGACACTACTGTTGCTGGAGCTTTGAGTGGTTCTTAGTTTTGAGATGTTATAACAAATGCTGCTATGGACATTCATATGCATGGGTCCTTAGCTTCCTCCCTTTGCCTGTCCTGCTTCCTCCACCCCTTTACTGGTCTCCCCTGGGAACACGTTCTTAATAGGTCACTTGCACATGAAACCTTGTAATGGGGAATGAGACCTAGTACAGACATAGGTGGCTTTGGTCATGCTGGGTGCTCCAGTGTAGACAGGCTGGAGAGGCATCAACCCCTCCCCTTGTGGATGAGGACTTGCATCTTCCTAATTTGCCTTCTCTCAGGATCCACATTCTCTTTTGGAATCTCTGGTTGTGCTCCTGGTTCAAGATGAAAGAGCCTGGGCCTCTCTGTCCACCCCTACTCTTCCCCACATCCTCCCTGAACGGGGAAAGAGAGGGGCTCTTTTTGCCCTGGGGGCTGACAGCAGCAGAGGCCACCCCTCCAGGACAGAATTCCTGATATTCCTGCT